CCCCAAAACCCCAAAACCCCAAAACCCCAAAACCCCAAAAATCGAACAAAATTTAAAATAAAATATGGATTCAGATGAATTCCCAGCTGGGCTCTTAAAAGATTATTTTGTAATAGAGTCAGAAAGCAGTGGAGCGTTCAAGAGATTTGGTAGTGGGATTTGAGGTGAAGTATAGATCTAGAGAGACTTGTGAAGGAAGGAAGAGTGGAGGGGGAGAGTGAAGCAGAGCAGAAGGGGTTGGGGGATGAAAGTGAGAAAGTTGAGGTAAGGATTTGGGGATAGTTTAATTAAAATTTAAGTTTTGGGGTTTTGGAGGGAGTTTGAGGGGGTTTGGAGGGGTTTTAAGAGGTTTGTTTTGGATTTTAGTCCAAGGGGTTGGTTAGGAGGAATAATTTGGGGTATAGAATGGGAGAGGTGGTAATTAGCATTATTCTACTTTTCTGTTTTAATGAACACATTTATTTTTCTCAGATAAGGATAATTAGACAGTAATATTTTTAGAGCATCGGATTTGCAAAATATTCAGATGGAAGTAGCGAAGCTCAGACTAGTGCTCTCGTAAATTTATATAAAAACCTGAACACAAGAATAAGAAAATCTCCATCTCAAGATACCAACAATTTAAAACATCTAAAAGATCACAAAATGCTTCTAAAGCACCCAAATAAGCCAAAATCTACATCTCGAGTAACTCTTCAACCTAACAAATCAGACTCCAAGAACCCAACCCAAAAACTCACAAAATTACAAGCCAAAACCCAACACCAACCCTTACAAAAACACCCTCACTCAAACCCCAAATCCATCCAATAATCCCAAACCTGCCCTCAACCCTCCTCAAAAGTAACCTCCTTCCCCAAAACCCCACTTTCCCCTAACCCCCTCTACAGAACCCCTAAACCCCCTTCAAAACCCCACCAAAATCCCCGTCCAGCCACCCAAATCCCAAAAGTACCAATCCTGTTCCTAAACCTAGACATTTTAACCCGAACAAAGACCTGAAACCTGCTAAAAGAGTTAAGCCAATAAGCGAAAAGAAGGAGATTCAAGGAGATTCAAGGAGATTCTACAGTGAGAAGACAGATGAAGGGGAAGCAGAAGATGGCTGTGAGAGAAGGTGAAGCAAAGGAAGGCAGCAGGAAGGGAATTAGGGAGAGAAAGTATAGAAAGGGATGAGTCCGAAGGAATTTAATTGGTAGCTTTTAGAGGTGATTTTGGTAGGAAGAGTGTATGAGATGAAAAAAGCAGCTCAGATAGAGCATAACCAAATCAGTTTAGGCAGGAGAGTTAGGGATAAGGAGGTGAGGGAGGGTTATTAGGTTTAGAAAGATAATGTTAAAGAGAAATATCAGGGGGGTTGTTGCAAAGGAAGTATTATAAAGATCAAGCAAATTGAGAGCTTAGAGAGATATCTTTCAAGTAAAAGAGATTTCACACCAAATGTCTTCCCTCAGATGCCAAAAATTGGGACTCTCAACTTCATGCGAAAGTTTCGAAACAGTCATTTCTCTCCTCAGCTTAAATTCAATGAGCTTAGTAATGATACAACACTAGAGATAAACAAACTGATGACTTGAGTAAGTAAAAACTGCAGAACTCCTAGATACCAACTAAACCAAAAGAAGCTCCAATCGCTCAAAGAGTAAAATCTCCTGCTATTTCTAGAAACCCCTGGCCAAAAAGTCAACTAAAAATGCTGAAAAGTATGTGCAAATCTTCTAAAAATAGCCACAACACCAGTCTGAATCTAAAAAGAATGTACAAAAGACTTAAGAACAAAGTTGATGTCAAATGGGGTACTCTTCAGTCTTGAAATATCTAGTCAAATCTAACCAACATTGGAAGGAATTAGATGCTCCAAGAATAAGGTAAAATTGCTTTATGATAATCTCTAGACTCTTTTCTCAAGTAAGCCTATTTGTGTATCCCTTAGGAAGGAGAGAGGTCAAAGTATAACATAAATATGGTCAGGAAAGTTTACAGAAACTTAAAGTTATAAGCAACTCTACTACTAATCATAGTCTCATCTCTGACAAGCGTAAGATAGGTATCTATGTTTAGAGATTATGAGACAAAGGAAAAAGAGAGGCTTTGCTTCTGTCAAACCTCGGCTAGACTTTGGCACCCAAGATCCTTCACATATCCTAAGTGTCAATGATACTATGTATACTGACCGCACTGGAAGAAATCTAAGTGAACAGTATAGATATTGAAATACTAAAGATAACTCTTTCGGAAGAGATCCAACCAGATCGTAGGTCATACTCTATCACTCTTTAGCAATAATGACCTTACCATTGCCCCATATTCAACTATGAACTTCGGGATGATTAGTGATTCTTTTTTCGATGACGGGCATCCTAAGATCCATAAAAAGCTGTAGATCTTCAATTATATCATTAAAGCTTGGGGTTTTGGGGTTTTGGGGTTTTGGGGTTTTGGGG